ATGTATAGTCAAGTGTCATAATTTTGTTATATCACTGCTAATAACTGTTTTCTAATTGTTTTTTCTAGCCACAGACACTTGTAAGTTGAGAACTATGTATCATCAATATATATATGGACAATCCAGTTCAAATGGCTAAGATATGGAACAATATTCATGAACATTTTTTGCATTGAAATTCTCATTTTTAACTACTATGTTTCGTGATATTTTATGACAAGTCTATAAAGTATTATATGTCATCTATTGTCAAACATAAGCACTGCATTATATTTTTGTCTGTAATTGTGATCATACAACTTTTTAGCCTCTGTTTGGGCTTAGAGATTTCAGTGATCACTATATCACACACACAAGTGTACAAAATAAGGAACACAGTGCATATTATGTACACAGAATTTCAACCACACAAAAGAATTGAAAATGCACCACCAATCACAGGCCTTTGACAGACTCTTGTATGCATCTCGATGTCAAGGATATTACAGAATAAACATCACAGCAAGAAAGCTAAGTATATTCAACAGAAAACATTATTTAGGAGGAAGAATATAAATCTCAACTCAAAACAATTGAAACCTGCATTGAAATGATACATGGACATCAGTCCCGGACACTGAAGAGAATGACAATGATTAGTTGAACACATGGAGCTGGAAGTGAAACTATTTTGATGGTAACTATACTGTTCAAAGTGGTGATACTGAAACAATTTCTAATAACATGCAAGACGTAATGCAAGACGAAAAGGAGACAACTTGTTCAGCAAATTGGTCTGACTTGGGTCTTGGGATGTTGGGATGGGAAGACACAGAAGTGTTGTAGTGTGAAAAGAGACCTCCCATTCTGCATCTACATACATTTATGTAGCACACCTTACCATCTTGGCATCGCCAAATGCTACATAGAAAACTGCCAAAGCCTTTAAAGACACTGATAAAGACTACATATTCCCTGTTTCTCAACATTCGCTGCCCCACATGGTCGATTACATGAACTAACTAACTAACTGCCACTTTGATCAGTGCCTCTACACTTCTCCATGACTTTCACCAAATGAAATTGACATCATAGTCTTGCAGGTTATTAATTAAAGTAGCAGTTTCCCTTGTAACAAGCGTGCCATGTGAGCAAAATAAAACGTATTGTGCTTGTGATTGGTGAATCCATTGATAAGCAATGTACAGCTATTTCCTAATTCCTTCAGTGTTATGTCTATATGAAAGCCCCATTTGCATAAAGCCAAAGCAGTTTACAGTACAGCTAATTCAATTATGCAGCACTGTCACAGTTATTGCATTTATTGCATAATTCCTTCAGTGTTATGTCTATATGAAAGCCCCATTTGCATAAAGCCAAAGCAGTTTACAGTACAGCTAATTCAATTATGCAGCACTGTCACAGTTATTGCATTTATTGCATAATTCCTTCAGTGTTATGTCTATATGAAAGCCCCATTTACATAAAGCCAAAGCAGTTTACAGTACAGCTAATTCAATTATGCAGCACTGTCACAGTTATTGCATTTATTGCATAATTCCTTCAGTGTTATGTCTATATGAAAGCCCCATTTGCATAAAGCCAAAGCAGTTTACAGTACAGCTAATTCAATTATGCAGCACTGTCACAGTTATTGCATTTATTGCATAATTTCAAAGTGTTATGCCTATATGAAAGCCCCATTTGCATAAAGCCAAAGCAGTTTACAGTACAGCTAATTCAATTATGCAGCACCGTCACAGTTATTGCATTTATTGCATAATTTCGAAAGTGTTATGCCTATATGAAAGCCCCATTTACATAAAGCCAAAGCAGTTTACAGTACAGCTAATTCAATTATGCAGCACTGTCACAGTTATTGCATTTATTGCATACTTTGGACAGCATGTTTCTGAAGAAGTTTGTCTGCACTAGAATGGTTACCATGTCAACCCTATACTACTAACCATGACCACTAGCAGAAAAAACTACTTTCAAGTGGTATTTGATATGAAAGATGCTTACTTACACATCTCAATGCACCTGGACAGTCAACATTTGATGAGGTTTGTGGTCAAAGGGACAATGTATTAACTCAGTCTTTTCTTTTGGCTTCTTCATGGAGCCAGTGATGTCCACAAAAGTGTGCAGGGCAGTGATGATTTTCCATTAGCTGTCAGGAAAAATGTAAGTGCTAAGTTTAAAATACTAGCATTCCTTCATAGATTCAATGTCGGGGAAATCGCATCTTGAGCTGACCCTTCGTTTGGTGTGAATGGCACCCAAAATTACATGTAGATTTGTTTACTACACAGCCGAGATTGGCGTATGTGAAATTGCATTAGCATGGGATGCACTGTTGATTCGCGGGATAACTTTGATGTGCAGGCATTTCATTTACAGTTCAGGAAGCTGTCTGTGCCAACTAACACTTCAAAATAGTTCTAGGGTGGTCTCTACTCCTACTATAAATTAGGATTCCTAGTAATAACAGTTACCCATCTAGTAGACTGGCGCAGTCAAGGCGATTAATTTGTTTTTGTAGTATATATAAAATAAAAAAAATCGCGAAATGGAGGTGTTAGCGCGAAATCCCTTGTAACTGCAAAATGATTTCGCGCTAACACTTTCATTTCGCGATTTCTTTTATTTTATTTAAACTAAAAAAAAAAAACTAATCATCCCGACTCCGCCAGTCTACCCATCTAGCTGCTCACAAGCCAAGAACTGTTCAACCTTGTTCATGCATCCAGGCTTTCCTATTGTTCTGTCAGGCTTAGTTTCAGATTGAGCCAAAGAGACTATGCATAGATTGCCCCAGCAGAGCTTAATTCACTGTTCACTGCAAGTTTTGCTGCATACACATTTGGGGCACGTTTTGCCATACTTTTTTTCTATTCATCAACAATCTATTCTATAGGAGCACTAGCAATTAACTTTGTCATGATGGTACAATGGTCTACATCAGTAATGTAATCATATTCACCAACTACTGTCATCTCTTTTACTATTGTATTGGCTTAAACACATGGTCACATAAAATATTCATTTGGAGACTAGATAACACACTCCCATTGTACTGTACACCTATCTTGGTATGATAGAGATGTGTGACATTGGAGAGTTTTTCAAGTTGACTTCATAGGTGATATTCAGTTGAAATTTGTTTCTGTCTTCATTGGAGAATATGTACGAGGGATGATCAATAAGTTCTCTGCCTTCCTCATAAAACATTACAGAAGGAAGATTTTTCTTACACTATTTTTCAACATAGTCCCCTCTAAATCTCTTGAGGAAGTTGCCAGGAATTGACTGAAAACTAGCCGAAAGCGTCTTTGAAACTTCCAATCTGTTCAACTTCTGATGTGGAGTCAACATTCGGGGCACCCACCTTGCAGACAACTTGCTCATCCCCAAGATGTTCGACAAAACATTTTGAACTGCGCCATAACTGATGCCTGATATGTCTAATAGTGACGAGTCTGTCATTTATTACCATGCAATGGATGGCCTCAACCTGATTGTCTGTGGTGGCAGATTGTGGGCGTCCAGACCTTGGGTCATCTTTCGTGCTCTCCTTGTCTCGCTTAAAGTTAGCAACCGACTTCTTTACAGTGGAATAAGAAGGCGAGACCTCACCAAGTGTCGTGACCATGTCTTCGTGGATTTCTTTGGGAGTCATCCCTTTTTATAGAGATACTTGATCACAGCACGAGCTTCTGTCTGTTTCATTTTTTTTATTTTCGACTTACCTGCTGATTATAAATGGACACGCACCACATGCTAATTAATGAATACCTAAATTTGCATTCTATGAGTAGTGACTTAAGACATTATAGTATAAAGTTATACCACAGAATAGGAGTTCCGTCCCTTGTTTCATGGTGAGGCCGAGAACTGATCACCCCTTGTATGCTTGGCAAAATATATTGCTTGGCACATCATGTATGACGTGTTTCAGAGAATTAGTAAAGGTTACCATCAGAAGTTGGAACCATACACCACACTACTGGCGTGATAACATGTGTTATATTTCAGTCGAAATTTAGAAGCATCTACTGAATTATGCAGGATTGGATGACAGGCATATATTAATGTGGTAAAAAAGTCAAATCTCGCAACCAAATCTCGAGTGTCTATGAAATAATTTCACATTCTGATTATTATGTAATTGCCATCATCAAGTCTGATTGATACTAGCTTGGCACTAGAACATCTAAGTAGTATCTTGTTTTTGGTGTACCACTTGTTTACTCGTTGGCCTTCCGTAGTGTGGTTTCCAGTATCATCGGATCTAGTTCAGCGTGACTGTAGGATACAAGTGGTTACCATCAGCAGTGGACAGTGCCAGTTACACGGTAACAAAAAATACCCTGTGTATATGAAAGATGGTGAAAGAGGCCTTAGAATTGCGTCAATATTGGAGGCAAGTTACTCAACAAGAATGGGAGAATGGTGATCGTGTGCCCCGGATCTGCTAAAGTGAAGTGAAAGGAACTTGATTGTGAAGTAGGCGTCAACTGTGAGTATGAACATATGATGTCATACATTTGGCATTATTCTACGTTCTTGTACAGTTGAAACTTTTTGAAAATTTTGGCTGTGAAATTGCACACGATGGTGCTCCCCCGCAGAATATTGTGCGAGCTGGTACAGAGAAAGTTTGTACATGTATAACATTTAGCCACTATTCATAGATCGAATGTGTGAACAGATTTACTTCAAAGAACACTCAATATTCTGAAATCTACGTAAAGTCAATTGTATAAGTAGCCGCGGTGCAGGAGCCACAGCATCCTGTAACTGACACGACTATGAGGTGCGATTAACTACCTGTACCGACGAAAACGCGAAATAAATGCTGTCAGTGGAGAGGTACATCTGCATATCACGTGACGACGAATGTATTCTTCAAACTTTTACATCTGTATAGCCATCCCAACCTAAGTCCCCATAGTGTAGAAGTTATAGGTACTGACTACCAATACAAACGTTGTGCATCTATTTGCAATAGAAATGCCTGACAATAACAAATCATAAATTTACATATGCAGAAACCTAAAGTGGCCAATGTTATTAATATGCATATGAAACTAGCGATTACTAATGGTAACAACTGCGGTGAAATATACATATACATATTATATGTATAATTCCTTTACAACATTACTTTATTAAACAAATAATAAATAAATAAACAAACACATTTAGAACAGAACATGACTACGTTGTTGTAAAAAGTCTTTAATGTCCACGGACATTGTGGATAGCTAATAATTTACGAATGCACTGTTTGGTGCGGATATAGTTTATAACTGTGGTGTAATATGTCCCAACGCAGTCACTGTGATAACTGTAATAACTCAGTGAATCAATACACCTTTGACAGATTAACAACAGTTTATTTGATAAGAAGAATAACATCAGAAGCAAATGTTGTATCTCCTTTCACTTGGTCATTACCATCAATTGTTCTAGAACGTATTCAACGTACTTCTGGATTCCAACAATAGACGTTTCCGATATATGTCATTATTTGAGGCAATATTTCGCCAAGCGTTTGCCATTACTGTTATACACATTCATTGATCTTTTTTTAAATTGTCCTAATCAATGAATTCTCCTGCAATGTAAATATATTCATGGATTTAATGTGCGTGTTCACAGCTTGTCACACGGTATACATGAGCAGGACAATATCTTCCGGTATTTGACCGTTTGTGGCCGCTTTCCCCTTCCTCTTAAACTGACCTGCAAAAAAACACACACCCATATGTGAAATCAATAAATAATAAACCACTTGTAAAAAATATTATAATTGTGTGAATAGTTAGTTGTCTTGTTTACCTGATTTGAGCGTATTCCATGAACGACGGCTATTCGTAAACACTGTACGTCTCGTGTTACAAATAACTTTTATTATTACATTAGTATTGATTAGGACACGTGTCATAAACTTTTTGTTATTTTCACCCGGAACGAAATATATTTTTGAAGAAACAATTTCCATGGGAATCAACGAAATGTTTCACAAAAAAGTAAATAGTTTTTATCAGTTTTTGACAGCCATAAGTACACATTTTTTGTTGAATGTGATGTTCTTAGCATATGTAAATTTTGAGATGATTATGAAACCGTTTTACCATAAAAACCAACAGATCACCATTTCAATGGATATTTCAGCCCTTTATTTTTGATTTGTGCGAAAAGTAATTGGAATATTATATTCTTTGTTTCATGAACAACAGCATAAAATATAACCACAATTGTAAATATCATTTGTTTTAATGGTACACATTACCTGTCTTTCAACCCAGTTGTCAATACTGCAACAGCAATTATCAGTTGTTACATTTGTAAATGTTAAATCCGAGTCATCGAATGCAGGTAAAGACTTCAGTATAAAACGGCGCTCCTGTACACATGCAAACGTATTGATACGTCTATTTTCGTAACCGGGTTTTGAGACGTACACTTCATGTGACTCCCGACGACAAGAACAGTTTGTGTCTAGTATTAATATACAAAGAGTCAATGATGTAAAATACAGCACGTATCTGTAATATCTTCGAGGCTGCATGATGACCATATCCAGTATAAGTGTTGATAGATGCGAGTACAATTCTGTAAAAAAAATAATGATTATTAGACATATATTATTAGATGAAATTACATTGCTCAAAACAAAAAGACATATATTTACACTGCAACACTGACCATTTCATTAATTACATACATGCTTTAAGATCAATATATGTTTCCTTCACTGATTTGACGTAATTGTAATGTGCGTTCGTTTCAGTCATTTGTTTGGTGTCTACTGTTTCACCAACTTGTACTATCGTTTATATATAATGATTTGTCTACTATTTTAGCTGCTGCTGAAGATATTCATCTAATATCTACGTTGGAATTACGATGAACAATTGGCAGTCCTCATTTAGTGATTGACATGCACGTCCATCTTGTTCATGAGATACAACACTTGCATCTCAAAATAAATCCCACGGTAGTGCTTAAGTACCTGTTCAAACACTTCGGATCATAGCTGACACGTGTTGGGTTTAATATTACCTTTCATGACTCATTTCAGAAACAAACTTCAATACAATGTATATGTATTCTATCGGCTAATTTCAATGATTTCTTTTTAATCTCAATAGTGACATTACCCGAAAACCTCGAATTTGCTAAAATTCTATAAATGTGAAACAGTTTATGGGGGAATTACTACCTCAAACTGCAGTCACTCACAGTCTTTGTACATTGTGTATCTCACATGGCAGCCTGATCCACGACATGTATTATTTTCCCCACGTTTGGCTAATGCGCATACTGGGAGTTCATCATTATCTTTGTGTGGTCCCATGTGAAAACAGGATGGCATTTCAAAAACCAACATGTTTCAGGACAGTATGAAAATGTGGATTGGGGTTACATTGCAATAGACAGTTTACTGTAACCAGTTATCTAGGTTTATTGTTTATAAACATGTCACATGATTATTAAATTATTTAAATTAGGAGTTGTTACTTGATACGTTAACATTTTACCGATTCTGGTATAATAGTATAGTAGACCTCATAGTAACCTTTCTTGTTTTCACACACAATATATGTCACAGATATCTCATAATGTGTACTATTACTGCAGACACATTGTATAATTGTGTTTTTTTATTAGATTATGTGACACTTCAGGCTAAATACGCGTTACAGACATTCGATTTCTTTGATATTGATAATAAGGTTAATTTATTTTATAAACAGATTGAAACCTTGCCCCGGGTACAGAGAAATGGAACTATTAACATGTAATATGTAACGCACATGTATGGAATAGATATTGTGTACACGCTTGGTTGTGATTTGAACAAAAAATGGAAATATACATATTATTGCAGCCTCAAGAAAAAGAAATAATAATTAGATCTAATTTCTCAGATAGCATCAATGTCAATCACATGTCAATCACATGTCTGATACAGACTTTAGGTATTCATTAGAAACCATTTGATTACAACACAGAATGGCACACGTGGTTGGCACCCGTGGAACAGGGTATGATCATTCTATTTGATTTACTTGACACCATCAATTGTTTATAAACCTATATATAATAGTATACGAGTATAGTTATAGTTTTCTCCATTATGAGTATATTCTGTTACATATATGATGACGTTCCAGACTATGCAAATTACAAGTCTCTTACGGCTTGTGCTTATACCCATATTTTATACATCTATTTTGGGTACACCGAGTTTCAGTAAAGCGTGAGCGTGTCCATTTGCAGCGGTGAGCCTTATAACTACACGGTTATCACAATATGTGACAATTTGACAATCAAATAATGTACAGAATAAATAAATCAATGTAGTCGATAAACCCCCACTTATGATGGACAAGCAGTCACTTTGACGTGATTGTATCATTTGCAGTAAATAATGCACTTCTGATTGTATTTGTGAAATGATAAGGTCGAAGTAACAAATTTGTCACATAAAATACAGGAAATTACTTATTTGTACCCGGAAACGTGTTTAGAAATATATATTTACAGACATAGTTTTTCAATTATAAACTTAATCCGGTTGACATTATAGGATTAGGAAATATTAGATTATCGACTGTCGTGCATTTTTCTTGCTCGTACCTAATCTACTACAATTTATTTTTTTAC